ATCAGTTTTCTCCATCCTTTCCCACCCACCTGTATATTTCCTTCTCTTTTCCTGTTTTTCTCCCCTTCTCCATCTCAACCATCAGTTTTCTCCATCCTTTCCCACCCACCTGTATATTTCCTTCTCTTTTCCTGTTTTTCTCCCCTTCTCCATCCTTTCCTCTTTCCCAAAATGCTTCAAAACGCACAGCAACACTTCTCATTATCCCTTGACTTGCATCCACCATAGACTTTGCATGTAAACCTGATGCTCCTGACACTCAAATCTTGTTAGGTTTGAATGCAGCATTACATGCGCTCATTTAAGTTTTAAGTGGTGATCTTTGTTTTGGCATACTGGTCCGCATGAGACACCATTCCGGTCCGGATCCGGACCCAGGTCCGCCTATTAGTGACCCCTGCTGTAAAGTGTGCAGGCCCTAATTTGGAACTTCACTGCTTCAGGTACTCAAATTCTGTTAACAGAGGTGTGTTGTAAATTTTCAGTAATTCAGCAGCCTGACTGTACCAACATTGTTTCAGCATGTTGTTTTATTCATTGCTGAATATCTTAAAATAAGTATACCAGTACAAATACTGACTCTACTAGTTTGTTTTCACAAAAATGTAGTTTATAAAGAAATGTATTAAATTGAGAGTCCACTCCACATTCAGGGATCAGAAGGGTTTGGTAGAAGTAATCCATGAGTTTGAATTCTGTACTTTGAAATGTAAGTCTCAGGTTTTGTCATAGTTTCTGTTGATTTTCACACAGTGTAAAGTACTTGTAAATGAACGAAGAAGGATTTTGCCTTACATGCAACATTTGGTTTTTAAAAATAAAAGAAAATAAAGTACATAAAGTTTGGTATTAAGAGAGTTTTGATTTTAGATTAGCTTTGGATTTTGTTAAAATAATTGAATGAGCCAAGTTTCTTGTTTCTATTGTTTATCACCACTAGGGGCTGTTTTTCTGTTTGTTTGCTGACTCACAGGTGAGGGACGGGGCTATTTAAGGTTAAGTGCGATTAAGGAGGGCAAACAGTTTTCCATTGTGCTTAGCTAAGAGTTCAAAATGATCATGAGGATTCTATCAAAATAAAATGGATGTAAAGAAATAAATGACTCATAACAAGAAGTGGAAACTAAGATTGACATGGTGAGCTTTATTTGAGCTCATGTAAAACTAAGCCTACATGGACAGTCTGCAACCAGAAGCTTAAATATAGGAATTTAGCAGCTATAATTA